GAGGCCCCTGTGGCGGCGCTGTGTAATCCAAAGAGGACAGCATGATCTCGAACACAGGCCTCTACGCCTAGTCTTCATTCCTGCTGGCCTCTCAACGACTTCTTTTTAATTAGCTCAGATTAACACGACCTTTAGCTACAAATTGAAGACCACTATACTAAACGGGGACTAGTTTGTCTATGGTACAGAGGTGGAGACCTGCAGAGTCAAAACTCCAGACCACTGGCATTGGAGCAGTCATGTCTGTCCCCCTGTGCAGACTCAGGCATGTAGTTTCGCATTCTGTGTAACTATTGTATGTCATAGAAGCTACTCCTTCCCAACACGTGATCATCATTTAGGTGTACAAATCAACAGCATTTATTCTGTTAATATAGGAAAATGTATCTAGAAATATGGTTGAGGGGAAAAGCCTCCTATCATGACAACACAGATACAGTAAAGGGGAAAACCTGTCCATTATCAACAAGTGTTGCTACAACTTCCTTAAAGAGTTAGAATGTGCCGACCTACACCACCACACTGTCATTAACATGTCTATGGGTGGTAACTCTAGGCCAGGTATGGTCAAAGGAATTCCATCCCCTGCTAATACAGACTTGCTAAAAATACTGAATTGTTTCTTAATTGCTCAACAAACCCAGGTGCTTTAAATCACTTTGAAAATTAAGAATTAATTGGAGCAAAGACCTGTAGTGGAATAGAAGTACCAAGCCTGACCAACCCCAAACCAGGTACTGCAGTGACCATGTTGTCTTCGCGAAAGTCCCGTTATAGTATTGTCCACATTTTTCAACACTCAGTGGATATATTGGGCGAAGATTATTATTAGCAGCCTTGCCATCTTCTCCAAGACAAGGAACGGGGGAGGGGTGCATTTATTTCCTTCGCTTAAATAAGACAACAGCCTAGCAGTAATCACAAAAGCAGAAAACACGCGAAAACTCACCTTTGGTACCTCGCGCATCCAGACCTGTACTTATACACCGCCGCTTCCGCCCCCTTGCCGGAAGTACATTAGTTTACAAGATGGCGACCCCCTATGTGACAGATGAATCTGGTAAGTGTCGGTTCTTTCATTGTAGCTGTCTCTGGCCGTGGAGATCGAGTGAAGTACTGACTCCGTCCTAGACGTTTTGGCCTTCCCTGACTGTTTTCCTCTTTGTTTAAAAACAAAGTCACACGGACAGCCGCAGACCGCGCTACACAACTTACTCAGAGGGGAAGGATCGGTTGGCGTGAAGTGAGGACAGGAGACTGAGACGCAAGAGACTTGTATTAAGAACCGATTGAAACTGTGGTTCCTAAGCGTTTCTTTAAAGAAGGTTATAAAAATAAGCCCCCGAAAATGAGATTTGTAGCTAGATATGGTGGGAGAAGAGCGCACTTCTATCATAAACGAAGATGCTGTGATATTTGCTGTTTAAGGCGGTTGGTTTGTTTTGATTCTTAACACTTAGAAGCTCTTTTTAAGTTCACATCGTAAATCCGAAATTGATCGTTGACGGTAAATGAGTACGACATCTTAATAAATTAACGTAGGGCCGTTTGTGTCTTGGACACACGGTTATCGTGTCTGAAGCAATTTAGCTCTCTGCCTTTTAGCCTACAGCTATTGTGATGTATCTTTTTTATCTTTTGTACATTTATTTCCATTGGTAGTGCAACAAGCACCGTTATGAGAAGTAAACTACAGTAACAGAGTGGCTATACTCTCACACGACATCTACTGGTTGAGTGGTAAATATTTATAACCTGATTTACCCCTTAGCCGTTCGGGACGTCTTATTTACAGAACTGCAAAAACCTAATACCGTTTAGATGGTGAGAAAATAATCAGCTAATTATTGAAAGGGTTTGTGTTCCTGCAGTGGAGAGTGAACAACATTCAGAGTTCAGAATGCGAGGCACTGTCAAACGTTTAATGGTGGCTTGCACACACGTGTCTCCCCAAAACTATTACACTGTGCAGACGGCACTTTCGTTTCCAAATCCAGCTGGGCTGCTGGACAGAGCCGATTTCCTCTGTAAGGGGGCCGAGACCCTGAACTAAGCAGGAGTTTGTCCGTCTTGAAAAGGAGGAAACGTGCTTGATTTGTGTGGGAGGGCGGAACCAGTAGTGGGCAGGTTTCGTTTTTATTTGAGTGCACGTTTAACCAAGGGGGTGTGACTCCATCCCAAGCCATAACCGTGACGCAAAGCATCAGCAGGTCCGACGTGCGGGGGCTTCGACGCTGCCGAGCCGCTGGGGAGAGACGGCTGTGCTGGGTTGTGGTGCTCCGCAGTGCTGCGCTGACTGCCTCCCCCTCC